TTCTGACTGGGCGGGGGTTAACCAGTGCCACAGCATACCGCCACTTCTGACTGGGCGGGGGTTAACCAGTGCCACAGCATACCGCCTCCTCTGACTGGGGGAGATGCTGTCTTGGCTGCAGCTCAAGCAAGGCTGAAGCAAAGTGTGGCCGTTACCATGGCGACCTCATCTGGGGTGCTGGTTCCCACCGTCATCTTACATGTTCAGGTTCTCCTGTGCCAGCTGTCACCGTCTTGACCTTCTTGCTGGCATTTGGAGGCTTAATTCCAGGTGAAAACCATGGTCAGACTGGGTCACCGGCCATTTGCAGAGAGACGCCGCATTGCCCCGTTACCGCCGGCCGGAGCGCGGCACGGCCGTGTCCCTGCTGTCTGTTGGCTGCCTTGCACTTGCACACAATTGCCTGTGGGTGGTGCCATTTCACTGCATTGTGGATGTCTTTCTTTTACTCTGTTGTGTCATTAATTGCTGAATGTAATTGGCGTGTTTTTGGGAAATGCGTGTCTGGTATAATAAGCGCTGTCAAGCAGGCTTTTCTGCTCTGTGAATGTGTGCATTTAAGGCATTAGACTGAGCCCTCCCTCAGAAACACAGCCTTTGCTGTCCTGCCGTTCGCAGCCCCCCCTACCTGCCTCACTGCTCACCTCACCTCACCCCCCCCCCCCCGTGTCTCTAGGTGATGTGCTGGTGGCTGAGGGCAGTGTGGATGGCTCCTGGATGCGGGGCCGCAGCAGCTGGGGGGCATATGGCCTCTTCCCGCGGTCTTGCGTGATGCGGCTGCGCCTGTCCCCCCGCTGCCGGGAGCTGTCCCAGCGTGCCGCCGCCGCCGCCGAGCTGCCCCCCCACGCCCTGGGCCGAGCCCGTGCCCTCATGGGTCTCTCCGCCCAGCTCGACGAGGAGCTTGACTTCTGTGAGGGGGACCTCATCACCATCGTGGGCGTGCCTGAGCCAGGCTGGCTGCGCGGGGAGCTGGACGGGCGCAGCGGCATCTTCCCTGAGGGCTTCGTGGAGCTGCTGGCTCCCCTGCGCGGTGGAGGGGACACCCAGGCCGTCGCCCGCTACAGGGAGGAAGACGAGGAGGAGAGGCAGCAGGATGAGGAGCGTGAGGTGGGCTTTGGTGAGGCAGAGGTCCCAGCGGGTGGGGGTGAGGCTGCCGGCCTGCATGGCGTGGCGCTGTATGACTTCCGTGCCCTGGAATGCGGCGAGCTGGACTTCGACGTGGGCGACCGCATCCTGGTGCTGCGGACGCTGGAGGACGGCTGGCTGGAGGGTGAGCTACATGGGCGGCGTGGCATCTTCCCACACCGATTCATCCAGCTAGAGGAGCCACTGTGCCACTCTGGCCAATCGGAGTTGAGAGGGGCGGAGTCTCGAGAATCCCCGGCGAGCAGCCTGGCTGGAAGGGACATGGATGCAGATGGGGGCCACCATGCAGTCAAGCAGGAGGCTGGGGACCAGAACCAGGAGTACAGTCCAGCCTGGGGGGGGCAGACTGACTACACCATCTGGGACCTCGACTACTTTGAGCAGGAGATGGAGCGCAGTGGCAGCATTGGCGGGGGGGCGGGGGCCATTGCACCACCGTTGCAGATGGGGGCTGGCCACAGGGCAGCGGCCAAACCACGCCTGCCGCCCCGGCCCAACCTGCCCCTTCTGCTGCAGCGCCGGGCGCAGGGATGTGTGCCCCAGGGCTCATCTACGCCTGCTGCTGGCAGTCTGGTTGCCTCAGGTCCCCATGATGACTGGCTCCATGGAAACGGTCAGGCAGCTGGAGAGCGTCCCACTGACAGACGGACGTCAGACTGCTTGACTGCAGCGGGCCAGCAGGAGGAGCACAAACGCAGGAAGCTGTTCCGGCATTCCAGTGCTGCCGAGGCGGACCTGCTGCCGCCAGAGACAACGTTCCGGAACGGCTTGCCAAGCCCCTCCTTTCTGGATGGACTCAGCGCCTCTGCCACTGACCTGGACTCCAAGCTCTCCCAGCAGCTGACCGAGTTCGAGCTGAGTGTCCCCGGGGGCCGGGGGCCGGGGGCAGGGCACAGAGTCTCCCGCCATTACTCCATCCTGGACTACAGCAGTGAAGGTGACATCATCAGAGGCTCCGCCCACTCCCCTCTGACCCTCAAGCCCGAGACCTGTGCTTTACCCTCCTCTACCTCTTGCCCATCATCCCTAGAGAGGCAAAAGGCACTCAGGCCCCCGCCACCCCGGCCCCGGGTCCTCAGGGGCCCACAGGGGTCCCCGCCCCCTATGGAGCGGCAGTGCAGATCCACCCCCGCCCCACTGAAGCCGGCCCGGCCTGCCCCTCGGCCACCCCAGCGCTGCACCCGCAGTGGTGCAGTGAGCCGTGCCCTACCAGAGGAGGGTGACGTAGAAGCAGAGAGGCCCTCTCAGGAGAAGCAGTGTGAGCAGGTGGCCATTCTGCTGCGCCTCCAGGAGGTGGAGCAGGACCTGGAGATGTACAGGCAAACGGCCGAGGAGCTGCGGAACATGCTGGAGCGGGAGGAGGACCAGGGGGCGCGGCAGCAGGCCTTGGAGAGCCTGGACTTATGCGCCTACAGCATCGACACACTGAGCCTGGAGCAGCAGCAGCTGCAAGGTGAGAGCCGCCTCCCATCACCAGCACTGTTCCTGGATCAGTCCATGTCCCCCTAGCTGCGTGTGTGGGCATTAGCTATACCAACACTGAGGCCTGGTTCAGGGGCAGTGTGCAGGATCCATTGTCTGAAAGAGTGCACTTCCTGTCTAGTGTCTGCTAGCTGCATGTGGTCTGTCTGCCTGCAGGGGGCAGCAGACACTAAAGTAATAGTTAGCCTGCATCTGACACTTAAATAGTATGACTGTGACTGTGTAGTACTCTTTGCAGTGGCTGTGTCTTGGTACTTTCTGGGCAGTGATATGAAGCAATTCTTAAGTTCATGGCTTTTCCAGAAAATAATACCACTGAGTTTGACAGCCCACTGCAGAAGAGAAAGAGCCATTGTTTTATAAACACCTACCAATAGGAGCTTAGGGAGCCAGTGTGTTTAATAAGGGGCACCAATAGGATCTGAGAGCCAGTGTGTTTATTAATGGTCACCAATAGGAGCTCAGAGAGCCAGGGTGTTTATTAATGGGCACCAATAGGAGCTCAGAGAGCCAGGGTGTTTATTAATGGGCACCAATAG